TATGTAAGCTCAATATATGTACACTTAACACATTTTTGACGTTTTCTATCATATAAATGATTTTTCATCAAACTTTATTACAATAGTGTTTATTTCATGTTTACAGGTTATTNATATATATATATATATAATGTATGCATGATATATATATACGTATTTACAAGTCATATCTCAATTTTCATATTCACGAAATACAGGTTTTTTGAACACTTTTCAAAAACAGGGAGTTTTCATAAATGAAAATTGATTTTCCAAAAATTCCTTTTCAAACATGTTTATTTCATCATTTAGAAACTTTCCCCAAAGTTTTACTATTTTTGGAATTGATTTGATATTTTTAATGTATTTTTAAAATTAGCTCAAAACCTGTCATATGCCATGTATCAGTTTGCGGTCGACCGTCACGGTCGACCGCCAGCAGCAATTTTTATTAGTATGAGCTTTATGTGCTCGCGGTCGATCGTGACGGTCGACCGTGAATCCATCAGAGACCTTCGCGGTCGACCGTCGTGGTCGACCGCCAGCTTTCAAACCCTGTGTTCAGTTTTTTTTGTGCCTCGCGGTCGACCGCGAGATTTCCACGGTCGACCACCGATCTCATCATTACCTTTTAACGGCTATTTTCTGCAACGGCTGCCTGAGGGTATTTTTGTTTTTTCAAGTTGGTTTTGGCTGATATTTTGAGTGGGTATAAATACCCCATTGATGTTTTCTTTCAAACAATCAAGTTTTTATTTTTAACAAAATCCTAAGTGTGTTTAAAAGAGCTGTTTAAGCTGTTTCTAATCATCTGTTTTAAAAGAAGTCTACTACAACAAGAAGATACCTTTCATTTTAACTGAGGATCCTATCCTCATCATCCTCTACTGTTCTTCTTGTTTATTGAGAAGTTTTCTTAACTCATCTTTTCATATAGCTTATAATTTTATTTTTATATCTTAGCTATATTTATTGAGTTACATATTTTTCATTCACTGTTATCACCCACACAATATTAAGCTTAATATCTTCATACTATATAGTGTGTGTTGTGGGGTGTGATTTAGTGAGTGTGAGCTTCATTTGCGTTCTCATTTGTTGTTGAGAACAAACCATTGTATTTAATCTTTATTTATGAGTATCACTTGTAATACACTTGTACACCAAGAGGAGTGTGAGGCGAGAAACGGGGTCGAATCCAATAGGAGTGACGTCGGTTGACGAACCTAAGGAGAGGTTGCATCTGAGCACTTGAGGAGGAGGACACGGGCTAGGTTCCTACACTTAGTGTGTGAAGTGGGATTGCATAGTGTGAGAGTTTTCGGTAAGCTTGTACACCGAGTGTGTAGAAGTTCCGGCTTTCAAACCGGATTGTGATAGTGGAGATCTCCTCGAGGTGAGGAGCGGGGACGTAGGTCGTGGTGACCGAACCTCGTAAACATATCGTTTGTTTGTGTTTTGCTTAGCGTAATTTTTATTTGTGCTTTTTCATATCTTTCTTGCTCATATCTATCTTATATCACTCGTGCAAGAACAAATTAATCAATATTATTTTAATTGGTTTTTAATCGGGATTAGATTAGCATAAGATCATAATCACCCCCTCTAGGGTCTAACAAGAAGCACTGTACACAACATGTTATATACATAATAGGATTCCCTTTGAAAAGTCAAATATAAGCCCTTATGAGTTATGGAAAGGTAGAAAACCTAATCTATCATATTTTTAAAGTGTAGGGTGTTTGGCTTATTATAGAGTTCCTGATCCTAAAAGAACAAAACTTGGACCTAGAGCCTTTAAAAGTGTCTTTGTCGGATATGCTAAAAATAGTAAAGCATATAGGCTACTTGATTTATCTTCTAATGCTATTATTGAATCTAGAGATGTTGAATTCTTTGAAAATAAATTTTCTGCAGATTCTGAAAAATGTTGAAAATATTCCTATTCTGCTTGACTCTAATAATATTCCTAGTTTTGATTTTCATGCTAAGGAAACTAATACATCTAAAGAAATATCAGAGCCAAGAAGAAGTACTAGAGCAAGAAAAGAGAAATATTTACCTTCAGATTTTATTTCTCCTGAACAAATTATTTTTCTTGCTGAAGGTGATAGGAATAATAATGTTTTAAATAAACATTCTATAAGTTTTAATCTAGATGATGATCCTAAAACCTTTGTAGAAGTCATGTCATCTAGAGATGCTTCACTTTGGAAAGAAGCTGTCAATGATAAAATGGATTCTATAATAGGCAATAGTACTTGGATTTTAGTAGATTTACCTCAAGGATCAAAGCCAATAGGATGTAAATGGGTTTTTAAAAGAAAATATAATTCTGATGGTTCTGTTCAAGCTTTTAATGCTAGATTAGTAGTCAAAGGGTTTAGACAAAAAGAAGGCATGGATTATTTTGATACATATGCACCTGTCGCACATATAACATCTATTAGAATTCTTATTGCTTTGACATCTATACATAAACTATTTGTGTATCAAATGGATGTTAAGACTGCATTTTTAAATGGAGATTTAAATGAGGAGGTTTACATGGAACAACCGGAAGGTTTCGTTCTTCCAGGAAATAAAAGAAAAGTATGCAAACTAATTAAATCTCTTTATGGTCTTAAACAACCACCAAAACAATGGCAAGAAAATTTTGATTCTGTTATTCTGTCTTACGGTTTCAAACATAATAGTGCTGATAAGTGTATTTATTCTAAATTCACTAATAAATATGGTATGCTTGTTTGCTTGTATGTCGATGACATGTTAATATTCGGCACTAACATGATTGGCATAAATGAGACAAAAGAGTATCTATCTTCCATGTTTAAAATGAAAGACTTAGGAGGAGCGGATACTATTTTAGGGATTAAAGTTAGCAAACATAGTGGGGGTTTTTCTTTAAGCCAATCACATTATATTAAAAAAATATTGAATAAATTTAATCATCTTGGTTTTAAAGAAGTTAACCCTCCTTTTGATCCTAATGTCAAATTGACTGCCAATTCTGATAGAGCTGTAGCGCAGCTTGAGTATGCTAGTGTAATTGGTTTTTTAATGTATGTTATGCATTGTATTAGACCTGATATTGTATTTGCTGTATGCAAATCAAGTAGATACACTAGTAATCCAAGTGTATAACATTGGAAAAGCATTTCCAGGATCTTTGGATATTTAATGAAAATAAAAAATCTTTGTTTGTTCTATAATGATTATCCGGCTGTATTGGAGGGATACACCGATGCAAGTTGGATGACTAGTGTTGAAGACAACCAATCCACTTCTGGAATGGTTTTTACACTTGGTGGAGGAGCAGTTTCTTGGGCAAGTAAGAAACAAACATGTATCTTACACTCTAACATGGAATCTAAATTTATTGCTTTAGCAGCAACTGATAAAGAGGCTGAATGGATTATGAACTTATTGCTAAATATTAATTTATGGTCTAGTCCAATGCCTCCTATTTCTATCCATTGTGATAGTCAAGCCACTTTGTTACGGGCTTATAATTGTACATATAATGGTAAGCCTAGACACATAAGTCTAAGACATGAATATGTGAGACACTTGATGCAAGATAGTGTCATAACAATTGTCTATGTTAAGACAAATAAAAATTTGGCTGATCCAATTACAAAACCTCTAGCAAGAGAGGTAGTAAAGATAACATCAAGTGAAATGGGGCTGAAACCTTATACTTAAGATCATCAGGAATGGTAACCCGACCATTTACTAGAATTGGATTGGTTAAAAGGTTTAAATGAGTAATAACAAGTTTTTGAAAGTGATTGATTGATATTGACGCATTAAGCCCTAAAAGATAATGTCAACATCGTCCATTATGGAATAAGAGGATGGGTTATGCTCTTAATGAAAGTCTAATACATTATTGTTGTGTGTTTAAAGTAATAGAGAACACATTGTAGACGTTTCACCTATATGAACTTAGAAGTGGTGCTGCTTCTTAAAAGAGCTAAATGTTTGTTCTTTAAAGAGTTCATGAACCGGGAATGAGCACAAGGCCATAACATTGCTAAAATATTAATTCTCATTGAAACAATAGATTAGTATATGTACAACATTTTTCAGTTTTGTCACAAAGAGTAATTAGTTCAATGTTAAGTCAACTAACGACTTTGATAGAACTTTGAGGTGTTTGTACTAAGCAAAGGTTTAAATCAAAAGATACTTCTACATATGTATATTTATCTCATTTTGTACATATTGTAGATTATTTTTAAATAAAATAACATTTTTTTTTTAAAAAAAATTGTTTTTCCAAACAAAGTGGGGGATTGTTAGTATTTATTTGTAAAAACAAGATAGTCCCACATCGGATATTTGAGCATTCTTTCAGAGGTTTAAAACCATTTAATGGTTATTGGGATTTGATAAATGGATCAAAGTATAGGTTTCTAAACCCGCGTGCGGGTAGCGCGATTATTAGACGCACTTAGCACTTTGCATGCTTGCCACTGCCGCTTACATATTCTATGTTGAAAAATGTTTGTTTGTTTCAAGGGGTGTTTTGAAAAGTTATGACTGTTGAAAGCACATTTTCAAACCTACAAATAGTTTATAATTTCAGATATTTCAACTTCACTTCTTTTTCAAAACTTTCCGGAAGAAAACATCTGCAATACTACAAACTTGTTTTGCGACGAATTAGTGAAAAATTCTAGATTTGCTTGCTGGAATTTTCATTTTCTGTTATATCATGGGAAGAAAATTTACACTAAGTCGAAACAACTTTGAATATCAAGTAGGACAAATATTTTTTTAAGAAAAATGTTTCACGCCCCAAAATTTCAGTATCCTTTATAATTTTTTATAACAGTTTCTATTGGAACCCTCCGCGTACTCCTGACGTTCCATGTCTTAAAAGAGGGGCAAATTGATAATTTGCTCCTCAACTTCGTGGCTTAGAACGGTTCTGACAAGATGTGTGGTCCAATATCACAGAAGATGTATTGCCAAATGAAATTGCAGAAGCACCGTAGGTAAAAATAGCCGCCGATTAGAGGTTTTTTGATAAAAGAAATTGTGAAAATGTAAGGGTGTAATTTGTCAACACGACAGACCAAGGACATCAATGTCCCCAGTCTCCCATTCCAATACGCACACGCACTCCCATCCAGCCTTGCCACCATTCTATCGATCAATCAATCCATAATAATTCTTTTCAATCAAGTTGGTTCTCTGAACCGTACTTTAATATTAAAGATAAAAACGTCAAGAGGCCCATCCGCAATTTCTTATTATTGCTACTCCCTTCGATCTGCTGTTAGCTGCTGATCCCTGCGATGGCGACCGGCAACCTGGACTGCGTCATCGTCGCCGTCGACGGCAGCGAGGAGAGCATGAACGCTCTCCGGTGGGCCCTAGAGAACCTCCGGCTCCGCCCCAAGTCCGAGGGCTGCGATCCTGGCTCACTCGTCGTCCTCCACTCCACGCTCAGTCACCCCCCTCGATCGCTGCTGGGCTCAACCCTGGATCCATTCCCTTCGGCGGCCCCAGTAAGACCCTAACCCCGACCCTGATTCCTTTAGAGATCGGAGCGTTTCTTGATTCTGCTTTGATTAGGTCACGTGGAGGTGCCGGCGTTCACGGCGGCGATAGAGGCGCACCAGAGGAGGATCACGGAGGCGATCATCACGCACGCGCTGCAGATCTGCAAGGAGAAGAACGTGAGTTTTGTTCAATTTTTGATGGATTTTGTGTGCTTACTTACTATTTTGACAGAGATTTGTTTGCTGATTTGTTTTTTTTTGTCTTCGCTCTTTTCGGAAGGTTGAGGTGAAGACTGAGGTTGTGGTTGGGGACCCCAAGGTTACAATATGTGAGGTTGTGGATAGAATGAAGGCAGACTTGCTGGTGATGGGCTGTCGAGCTTATGGCCCCATCAAGAGGTGATACCTTTTATCATCATTGGGTTCTCTTTCGCCGTGAATTTTGATCTGCTTTTACTTCCTTTTCTTGGTAGGGAGTGTAATTGCCAAGTTATAGTTCATTTCAAACATATTTCCATCAATATTCTCATTAGATTATATATACTTAAATGATATAATCAACCGATACGTTGCAAACTTGAAGCATAATACTGGGGGGGGGGGGGAAATTTGTGCACACTGAGATTAGCCTAGTGACGGCTGTATAGGCTGTGAAAAAGAAGAACAGACCATGCTTTGAGTTTGGATAGCAATACAAGATGAAGGGTATGAGCGGAGAAAAGTGTGGTGGAATTAGATTGAAGAGTTTAGCAAGAGAGTTTATCATGTGATTGATGTGTTTGCGCTTCAAGTTGAGAGCATGCTTTGAGTTGGCCTAACACTGATGAGCTTTATCATATCATTGAGATAGGCCAGAGAAGAGGCCTGAATTGTTTTGACTCTTTGGAGCCATTTTGCAGCTCTCATCACCATAAAGAATCTAATGGTTCTTGTATGCTTCCACTGTCCTCTGTCCTTTTCACATTTCTCTCTTTTCTTTAATTGGAAGTAATAATTAAGTTAACCTCGGCAAACCAGGTTACATGCTCAGATCAAACAGCAAGCCAACAGTTGACTGGACCTCCCTGATAATTGTTATTCAGCTGGTAGCAAACCATCACATATTCAAAATTTAGTCCATGACATGTTAGAAGCTACAAAAATTAGTTAATTAGAAAACGAACTATAACGATATTTACAAATTAGGCAAATGAACCACACGCTCATCGGTTGAGATGGCGTGTAACGCCCCGCCCCGGAATTTCGGAGTCGGTACGCTATTAGATCTGATGGACTGGCCTCACAAACCACCACATGTATTTTCGGCACGTTTTGTCCTCACTCACGCGCTCCCTGGAAAACTTCCCAGGGGGTCACCCATCCTAGAATTTCTCCAGGCCAAGCACGCTTAACTTTGGAGTTTTTAAGAGTTGGGTTCCCGAAAAGAAGATACATCTTGGTGGTATGAGTATTCCAATCAAATCTATCAATACTAATCACATCACCCTCTTAAGGGTTGGGGTATTACATAGCGCTCAGTTGGATCAACTGGGCTTCAGTTGTGTGATTAATTGTGCTGAGATTGCTATAAGTTAGATTTGGATTTCTGACAATTGCTTGTGCAGTGACATGAATTTGTTAATAGTGGATGACTGTTGCTTCGGTAGCGTGCATCTTTATGGATCTTTGGCTTGTTTTATGCCATATACTTTAGCAAATCGTATTGTCTGTCACCATTCTTCTATACTCTTCCTGCCTGTGGAAAATATCTATGAACGTCAAGCACCTGTTGTCCATGGTTTCCTTAAATGCCAGGAAAAGGTGAAGCTTTTAAATCATTGTTACATAGTTTTGCCCTTTATCGACGCCATTTTGGTGTGAAAAAGTAATGTTGATGATGATGAGGAGCTTAGATAGGAATGATTTGAAAGCACAATCTGAGAATTTTGAAAAACCCTTGTACACAAATGGAAGGTTGGTATTCACCGTAAGGTCGACCAAAGAACTGATATCGTATGCTCAATAAAATCTATCACTCGGGATATTTAACATTATAAAAGAGTCAAGATTGTTATTCAGTAACTATGCAAATAAAAAAAATCAGGAATGAAACAGCAGCAGATATGAGGCACCACAGATTTTTCTTGTGCTTTGTATCTATTTTGTCCCACTTCTTCAAATACTTGTCCAGAGTTCATACCTTATTTTCATTATTTGGTTTATTCGACTTGTAATTTCATCTCAGCCAATTCAATTTCATCACAGGCAATTCAGCTTTATCGCTGCTCACAAATAATTAAAAAAACAAAAAGAAAAAGAAAAAAGAAAGAAAGGAAAGCAAGGCTTCGGGATAGTTCTACCTAAGAGATGGAAGAGAGAAATTGCTTGTAGGAATTTCAACGAGTCACTAAACTGTAACAGGTCTATGTAACACCCGCAAATAGTCCCACATTGTTTGATTAGAAAAGTTTGATAGGGTTTAAATAGTGAAGTCAAAGGGCTTAAGAGCAACTAGTGCTAGCACCTTTTGGTAGCGGATTGAGCTAAACAATGTACCATGACTTATGCAGCAACGATACTTGAAATACATACACATCTGTTACCAAAAATGTACTTTATATGTTTATACTAGTCTTTTTATATTCTTTGGATGTTAGTTTCAGGATAGCATAGATAGAGAAGACCAGGATCTTTTCCTTTATATCAAGTAAACATATATGCAAACAGAATTTGCCTTGAGGAATTTAACATTTCATAACTAGCTCGCTAAACATTGTCTCTTGGCGTCCTTGCAGGATGTTTTTGGGAAGTGTGAGCAACTATTGCATCAATCACGTTACCTGCCCAGTTGTTGTGATAAAGGGCAAAGGCACCAGTTAGTGAGTTTGGTTTTTCTCCTTGCATTGCCTTGTTGTACCATTTTGCTTGAATGTGTTCTTTGTTTTTTCCATTAGACTCTCCTTGCACATTTGGGTATTGGTTTGGTGTCTCAGTATGTTCCTTCTCAGGAACTGCTCCTTCTGTCCAACAAAATGATCCTCATGTTATGTACATTGGAAGGTTGGTTGATTTGTTGTTCCTTGATGCTCTTTCGCCTGTAAGTTGTGATAAAAGGGATTTCTGGATAGCATAATTGATGAACAGCATAAGATGGTGCTTTCAATTTGTATTTGAGTTGTATTTGTTTGTCATCTGGTTCGAAAACAAGTATTCACGAAGTTCCCAATTCTGAAAAGCCCCACTCTCTCTCCAAATCCGATCAAACAAACGCTCAAAATCTCTCGTTTATTTTAAGTAGTTTCAAGGCTCGAATTCGTATCTAATGGACGATCATCGCCTCGCTGCAATTGAAGCTTTCCTGAAGAATGACACTGTTTTTTATGACTGTTCTAGAGGAAGCCGCTTGATCCATTGCTAGAGATCTCGAAGAGAGTTTATGGTAAAAATTCAATTTTGCTCATCAATTTTATGCTCTTTGCTGTTAGATCTTGGGAAATGGTGGATTTTTGCGAAATGGGGATCTATCTTGATTACTATGTTTTTTTTTTATGAAATTTGTCGATTTTGAATAATGAACTTCGGTATAGGAGTTGAATTTTTGTAGCTTCGAAGATCCTCACAAAAGAAGGAAAATGTTCAAGCATAATCTAATATATTAGAATCTGTTGTGGGTATTTATGATGATGATATTCACATTTCGCCCAAAATTTGGCGCTTGCAAAATATAAAGGACGGATATGCACACATTTCAAGAACACCATAAGATTTGTGTGACTATTGTGATTAGGTGCCTGTTTTTAACTCACTGAATGATGATTTTCACTTATGAGGTCTTGAGTGTTGAGTGAGTAGTTTGTATTGTGATTCCTTGGCTTGCCCTGTTTTTTTGAGCTCTATTTTACTAGGCATAGCAAATTTACATCTCCTTCAGTTCTCCAGATTCGGAATTTCCTCAATTAATGGCTTTAGCATTTCCTTAAAACCTTCACTGCAACATCAAAAGCAGGTTCAAAATTAAAGATAATTAAGATAATCAAGCAACAGCTATATAAGCAGTGCAGAACCATTCCAAACATGCCAACTAAATAGATTTAATAGCAGTTTTGCGCAGAACTTGTTCAGGACAAATCAAGATATTGGATCAAGTTATATCTATTCTTCTATACCTAAAAGAGAATCTAAAATATTACTACTTTTACTACAATAAATACAGTAGCATTAACAGTAAACCAAATCTGGTCCTATGCACTCGGAGTTACTGATCATGCTACAGTATTGTATTGTAGCATAAAAAGTAAAGCAAATATGTTTCTCCATACTTGAAGTTGCTATTCATGCTACAGTACTTTACTGTATCATAAACAGTAAAGCAAATCAAATGTATTAAAACTTGAATCTTTATTTAAGTATAGAGGAGTGGATATGATTTTTAAATCAAATGTATTAAAACTTGGATCCATATAGCGGAGTAGATATGATTTATAATTTTAAGCATACAATAATTAAATCAAATGTATTAAGATTCAGAGGGAGGCAAATTCAAAATGCAGTGCTAAAAAAAAAATAGGGGGTCATGCTTTGCACGGGGTGCACTCTAGTGTGTGTGCGCGCGCACGAAAACATTTTCTTCTTCTTTTAAACAAGAGCTACCAATCTCTCTTCGCTGAAAATTCAACAAAGAAAAAGTTTAGAGAAAATGTAAGCAAAAATTACACATAGACAGTAACTCAAGTCGCCCTTCCAATTTCGTCTAATATCACCTTGGTAACCCTCTCTTTGATACTCTTACAATCTCATCCAACGCCACTCTTAAATGCACTTTTCACACCCCCCAACACATTCTAGAACAAATCAATTTTTGGCACCCAATTCTGACACCAACACTAGATGCAAATTACAACTGCTCAAATTATACAAACAATTAGGGGTGAGCAAACGGTCAATTTCATTAGTTTGACCATTTTTTTGTCAAACCAAACCAAAGCGACAGCTTCAGAACCGAACTGAATTAGTTCATTTCTGCTTGATTTACTCTATATACGGTTGGGCAAGAACATAAGCTATGCTGGCCCAAAAGGAACGTGCAAACCAAAAGAACAAAAAAAGAAAACATGTGGAGTAAGGGATCAATGAATTAGCAATGTAGATCAACCAGAATAATTTTTTAAAAAAAAATTAGGAAAAAAAGACCAAGAAAGTGGAAAGAATTGCCTTACAGCATCAAGAAATTGCAGCTTGTTCGCCTTTGTTAGTATCAAAATCTTGTCAAACCCAAGCAATCCGAATACATCCGGCCAGATCGGTCAGTTTAGTCAGATCCGACCAATAACGTTCACCCCCTACGGAGAATTTATAGATGGACCCTGAAAAACTTGCACAACGTAATGTAGGCAATAAATAGCCCGTTAGTTTGTCAGGTTAATTAATATCAAAATCTTGTCAAACCGAAGCAATCTGAACACACTCCAAAAGAGAGCCGAGCCATTGACATTATGTCTGTTCAGTCAGTTTAGTTGGCTGATCAGTAATGGCTCAGCCCTACGGACCGATTTATAGACCGGCCCAAGACAAGCTTGCACAACGTCTGCTATGCATCTTAGCATATTTATGTTAACTTCTGAGATGAACATTAATTAATAGGTTTTTTTCAAAAAAAAAAGACCGTTTTTGCTAAATAATTAGCAAAAGCGACCATTTTGCTAATTATTTAGCAAAATCAACCTCTTTTTTTGGCCAACAGGCCAAAAAGAGGTCGATTTAAAAAAAAAACGCCCAGCTCAGAACATATGGGACTACCAGTCCCGTATGTTTTGAGTGAACTAATCACGAATTAGTGCTCATAGAAAACGTACGGGACTACTAGTTCCGTATGTTTTGGGCACTCATTTGATCTCCCAATCGCTGATTAGTTCACCCAAAATATACGGGACTAGAAGTCCCGTATGTTCTGAGCTGAACGTTTTTTAAAATCGACCTCTTTTTGGTATGTTGGCAAAAAAGAGGCCGATTTTGCTAAATAATTAGCAAAATGATCGATTTTGCTAATTATTTAGCAAAAACGGTCTTTTATACAAATTTTCCCTTAATTAATTAGGTTTCCTGGCACCAAAAATAGAGGGATATACAGGCTTTCTAGTTGTATTTGTTTTCTTTCAAGTTTCAACGCAATATAGAAATATCTAAAAATAAAATTTCCTTATGAATTTGATACATCTATGTGCTCCCTGATCTTTTTTACCCTAGTGACGAAATTAGCTAGAAATTGCTCCTCCAAGGATGGCTGGCCATGGCCGCACACTCTAGTTGTAATGCAAGCGCCTCCATGTAAATAAGATATTGAAGTACTTCAAACCGTGAGATGACGTAACAATAAAGGGAAGGAACTCACATGACATGCTTTGGGGTATCTGCAGCAAACTTTTAGCTATGGACGAAGTCGAGGAAATCATCCATTTTCCCTTCCTTCGTTGGAGAGATCGAGTCATGAGAACATAGCTCAGACCATCAACACCCCTCTAGCGACCGACTTGTCCTCTAGGCGTTGGCCTACAGACCTTTTTTTGTGCATTTTATGAGGGGATGCTTGATATATACAATGACGCTTCATTTGGTAGAACATAGCTTGGATAATGATGAAATAGCTTTAAATTGAATAGAGAGCTCTGAGGCATCTAAACAAAATTTGTAGAGCTAGGTACGCAAGTAAACTAAGATGGATCTTGCGATGTGCTTCTGTATTTCATGATGACATTGTGCAACTATTCATTTTTTTTAATTTTTATGTTGAATTTCTTGGCAATAACTCTAATTGAACCACCTTATTAGTTTGACTGAGCTATATATCTATGTTGCATGAGTACAAGTATGGGCACGGATGCCGGTACGGGTACGGGACACGATAAATTTGTAAAAAGGTAGGGTACGGAGACACGATTATATAGATATTTATATACACATATATTGTATATAAGAATTAATAATTTATATGAGAACAAGGATGAGAATTAAATGTCTTATAACATTTTTTATGTTTGTTTTATTATATGGATTATAAATTGAAAAATCACTAATTTTTTACCTAGACATCCAAAATAACCCTCAAACTCATTATTCGGACCTAAGCTATGTCCAACAAATTTCAAGAATGTAGGATATATGAGCAAAAAATTGTATAACAAGTGTCTTAATTTGAAACATGTATTGTTAATTTAGTACATGTCTAAATAAATATATGTATTTATGCAAGGAGTGTCCAAGGAGTTTAGATACGGGTACGTGTCGAGTTCTGTAGAGCTTTAGATTAGAAGCACCAAACGTTATTTTCTTGTACTCCGCACTGGCTTGAAATTACCATCGAGCATTAGCTTTCAAGTTGATAGTGTTGTGCGCAGCGGAAATTTCGGCAGAGTTTCTGGTGCACAATAAGAGAGAAAGATCGATAAGAATTCCCGTCTCACCAAGGAAACAAGAATCTGAAGCGGATATCTCAACCAAGTGAGATATCGGCTCTTCCTCTCATCAGTTCTAGGACTGACCTGTCGAGGGATCCTAAAAACTATTACAATGGCCACAAACTCAAACAACCAATTTTTACGTGGTTCGGCAAACTGCCTACGTCCACGGGGCAAGGAGGGGGATCTACTATTAGAGAGAAAAAGAATACAAATAGGTTTACAATTCTCACAATCTAAACCCTCAAATAGGCTCCTTGCTTTTCTTCACAAGAAAAGGTCAGCCACCAAAACTTTTATCTCTCTGCACGAAGCTCTGCACCTTTGCACGCCGCCTCTGCCTTTTTCCACCACCAAATTCTGCGCAGCAGTACCCAAGCACGTCCCCTGCCTTTACACAGCAGTCCGCACCCTTTTTGCACTTTGTAGCCGCCAGCTAAAAAAACTCCTTCGCTCACCTTTCACGGAACCCTAGACAATGATTTTATAGCCTGCAACTCAAATTCGGGTGGGCCAACGAAATTTCCGCTGAACAAATCCTCAAACAAAAGAACTCATAGCCTGCTGGACTTCTCCCACAAAAGGACTTGTGGCCCCCACTCTTGAAACCGTGTGCTTTGAAAACCGCCTCATCAACTCACACGTTTTCCTTTTTCAGCTCCTTAGCCATTCACGCGTCGCTATCAACAATTCTCCACCTCGGCGAAGTTTTCTCAAAACTGAGCCGACACCAACCAAAC